AGACACTTGTTTTTCAGTGACTGAATGTAAATGTTTGCAATCTTTCTCAAAATCAAGAACAATTCGAATTGAATGTCACTATAAATTTCCTATCAAAACTACTTTGAATTCACATAATTTTAGAATATTTACAATCCAGTTTAAGAATTTCTGGTTGAGCCATTCAAAACTGGTTTAGGAAACCTGATGCTACATCACATGACAATAAATTTCCTCAAAAGAGTCACACTGAAATTACTACATAAGTGTCACACTATACACAGAGCTGCCATTTCTGAAGAGAAAAAAAAAAGGGGATTGGCTTTGCTCTGAAGATCAATCTTGCGGGGAGAAGGGAAAGCAAGTGATCACCAGTTAAAGGGGCTTTTAATTGTTAACCAATTATTTTTCCTTGTCCACACTAAAGGAATGTAAAGAGAAAAGGACTGGGGAGAATATGGAGAGTGATTATAGGGTGTCAAAGGTTTGACCCGTTGCAGTGTAAATACCCTTTACAACAAATGAAGTGGGCACCTGATGGCTCATCTGCACAAAGTCAGCACCTTTTACCCCTCTTGAAGTATAAAAGGAAGCAAAATTTAAAATTTGGAGTATTAATTTTGAATAGATAGAAAAAACAGTAAAACAGTACAAATGCAATAACTTTAAGAGGAAGGGAATTGCAAACTGCTAGAAAAAAAATGGGAAATAATTGGCAGGCTACCTAGAAAATGTTACAAAACATCTCACTCATTTTCTTCTTTCAGGCAAAGGTAGCTGATTGTTTGTATGCTTCACAGAACTAAAATGCCAAAATAATTCCAGGGCTACAGTGTAGTGACAGGTACCCTAAGCCACCCAAAAGTGAAATAGGGGCCTGAAAAAGGTGCAGTCCAAGCCATTTTTCACACCAGCGCATTCACTGCTTATTGGTCAACAATTCTCTGCACTGTATTTGCCCATCTAGAAAAGTCTGCCAAAGACACAACCAGCTATCTGTAGCTACATTAATTCCTTAGAGGCTTTGCACGCTATCATCTTCTTACGGTATCTCCCCTGTGATAAATGTTGTCATCTGGAATTGTTAAGCTCTCTCCTTCTGCCATGTTTTCTAAGAGTACAGCCTCTTCATCAGAGCCATTCATCACTACTCGCCTTTCATATTTCACTTTGCTATGCGTGTCTTCTCTCTGTAACAATTTTTTCTTCTTTCGCATAAGGAAATTGTCAACAACCCAGAACATTATAGCCTGAGGAGAAAAGGAAACTTTAGATGAGCTCCAGGAGTTACCGTCATCTAATTTCTTCTCTCTGCTGAATCATCTAAAATATTAACATCATGAGAATAATAAAACTTTGATCGATAAACAAATTCTCCTCGTCAGAACCAAAGGAAATGCATAGAGAACAGTATGGAGAATACGCATCCTGATGTTAGAGAGTAAAGAGTTATCTTGCCATGAGGACCTTGGTGTTACACAGTGCACTTTTTTTCCAGACAAAATTTCAAACATGCTTAGAACATGTAAATAAGAAACTGGACCTTTTTGGCAGTTCTTAGCTCACTTTTTTTCATAAAAGCGATTTGGTGACCTACAGTAAAATCTCTCAATTGGTAGCAGTATAGGACATTGCATTTCTAGTGTTCTGATTCTTCACTCAACTCCGGCTATCAGCCTATCAATCACATCAGCTTAAATGGAAACTTATTCACGCAGATATTTTTTGATTTTAGAGTTTAAAGAATTTCACTAAGCTCCCAATAGCATTAATGAATGGTGGAGGATTAAATAAAACAATTATTCCGTTTGTGCTTGTTGAATAAGAGATAAGTTATTGTCAAATTGGCCTACCATCTCAGATCCAATGCACACTCATTGTTAAATAGTGCTTGCCAGAAAAATAATTACACTCTATGTAATCTCAAGTGACAAACTCAGGGCTCAACACTAACAGTAGCCAACTAGCCACAGACTAGTAGAAATTCAGTTTTGGCTGGTGGTTTTCGGTCTCCACTAGCCAGTTTGGCTAGCAAAAAAAACTGAAATTGTTGTAACATCTAAGTTGTTACCAGCCACTTGGCTAGTAAGTTGAAAAGTTAGTGTCGAGCCCTGAAACTGGTGCCTTTTGCTGCAGTTTCCATCAACAAAACGTTTTCTTTAACTTGCAACAGCAACAGGAGCAGCTGAGAAAGTTGAATGAACCACAAAGCCATTTGCCACCACTCCACATACAACTACTTGCTTTCCCTCATTTTAAACAACTCCTTCTAAAAACATACAGGGCCGATTGGAGACCCTTCGCCTGCAGAAACATTACCAGTAATCTTTTAAATGACGGTGAATATAACGAAACTGCAGCTCATATACCTGATTTTCATACATTCACAGTCATTGATTCATCACTTCATGAGTTTATAACAAACCAACATAATGACTAGCTTCCAGTTGGCTCATTTTCAATTCCTGTACAGCCCTGAATTTTTTTTTTCAGGCCTTATTTTCACCACAGCTTAAGTAGTGCTCATTACTGCTAAGACCACTGTCAAATTCAATCTTTAAATGTTACAATTCAAAGAGCTTACTTACATTGAAAACAAAAGGGACTATCAGCATTGATATAGCAAGCTCCACTCTTGGGTAGTGTTTGACAGGCAAAAGCATGAACCTGCGAACTTCCTCCCAAAAATTAAGTTGTACTACTAGTGTGATGGGAGCTTTTTCAATGATGACAGCCCAGAGGTACAGAAAACACTGCCCTGCCCAAGCTTTGCACTGCGGAGGGTTACCTGACAATAGGGAAAAAAAATTAACATTATTATTCTGCTAAAACTTAGTTAACTACATTGTCTCCTCAGCTGCATTATACTTCATAGTTAGTTCTCTGTAGCTCACCTACAGAGAATCAAGTCTGCCATTCATTCTCCTAGGAAAGTGTGAGATTTTCTCTTTGTCCAGACTTGTGGATGTGTGAATGGCAACTTTCTTTATTCCACGACTCAGCTCAATATTTATCATTATGATATTTCACATAAAACTTACCATACTCTCCAAATCTCAAATTATCCCAGTCGTACATTCTTACGACACCTTGCATGAACTGAAGGCAGATGTAAATGACAACCAGACCAAGAGTAGAATCCAACAAGAAATTTATCAGATACCTTTAAAGAAAAATATACATTTAGTACATGCAGTTTCTTTTTTTAAACATAAGTCATCTCAACAAGAACATAAACCCTTCCCTTTGAATTCTATCTGTCAACTTTTAGTTGGGCATTTCTAGTAAAGGAAGAGATACAGAGATCCACAGTCAAAGGGAAACTGTTCTATTAAGTATTGTATAAGGAATATTAACTCACAGGTGTACAACTTAATAAAGGGAATTTCATGTTCTGGCAACAGGAAGTTCGCATGTGTAGTCTCCAGGTATCAAGATCATGACTTCATAGTACCCTTAACATTTTATTTTTCAAAAAAAAAAGATCTATGTACTCATTCCTGATGAGTCCAGCTGCAGTACACAGGGTTATAGCTAAGAAATTACACTGCGGGCCAGAATTTCAAGTGAGGTGGTTCAAAGGTAGTGAATGACTGTAAGTGTGTAACATTGGAAGCACCCATTATGTTTCCTTTCTAATTGTACATACACGTACACGTTTTAATGAGAACTTCTGTACTCCTAGGTGTCACATGTTTAAATAAAGGATTGATTGATTGATTGATTGATTGATTGATTGATTGATTGATTGACGGCCCAACTAAAATCCAACCACAATTGCTGCTTTTTCATCTGGCAAACTCTGCTGGCAGCTGACACTTACAGCTGTAGCTACAAACCTGAGTAGAATCACTGCAACATGCACATTCTAGTTAGAGTCTATTGGAAGTTTTTATGACATGCCCAAATCTAGTAACCATTCGTTGTGGCATGTCAGCTTGAACAAGTGGAAAAGATGGAACTGAATCACTTACCAGGTGCATGGATCACCTTTGAAAAGGTTAGCTAGGAAGATGTTAGCAAAGTGTACCAGCATGGCACCAACTGCTTGCTTTGAAGTATCAAAAAACCTGCAATTACAGGCCAGAAAACAGGCATTAAGACAGATGCTTTTGCAAATGGTAACCCTCACATCTTGAGCTTTTTAAAAAGTGCCAGTTACTTGCTTGTGTCACTTACCAAATAAGAACAGGTCGTCTTTCAGATAGAGGTTCTCTCAATCTTTTCACTAGAGACAAAGAATATTAGAACATTAATCACTTTTTACAGATGTTTATTAAATCAGACAATCACATGTTTCATAGGACCTATCCAGCCTAGAAAAAAAAACTCAAAATTTTCTTTCATCTTTATTATGGCACTGTCCAAAGTTTAACTTTTACAGTATTCATAGACAATTCATGAAGGCTTAGGTAGCAATTTAAAATCTCAAAAAAAAGTTAGTACTAAATCTTTCTATATTTTTCAGAGTCAGGATAAAAGGTGTGGGGTTTGGAGGTATATTATGTGTGACCTCTCACGGGAAAACGTTCTGAACGGTTAGCCGTTTTTAAACGGATAGCCGTTCACCAGCCGTTCATTGGCCGTTCGACTGGATTGGCATGCCGTTTGAACGACTCAAGCTATCCGTTCTTGAATATTCATCATCCGTTCGAACCGTTCGAGCAATCCGTTTAAGAAACTTCATCATCCGTTCGAACGCCTCTAGCTATCCGTTCTTGAATATTCATTTNAAATTACGTGGGAAAAGTACTTTCTTTTTACATTGAAAACCGAGCATATGAATATTTAAGAAAACTGAGATGTCCTTGACCGTTTCAGCAGATAAATCATGTACAGATTGGGGATTTATTAAGCTTACAACGACTTAATGTAAGAGATTCACGAAGGCTCAATCATCTACACGCAAAATTGTCACAGTGTATGTACGTGAACATCATTGCATGAAATTCTCCAACATTGCCAATTCTCCCTATATTCCTAGAAACGAGAGAAGGATTCGAAAGAGCAAATAAAAATCCTATTGCTTTCCGAAGAACAGGTGTTTGAGTGTTTTGTTAGTACAATAGATAAAATGCTATTTTTGAAAATAAAATAATTATGACAGCGAAGCTAACTACAAAATTCATAAGATTCCCTTAAAGTTCGCACAACTCTCAATTATCTAATTTAGATTTCGTTTATACAGCAAGATTATATTTTGGCGAATAAATAAACAATTACTGTGGGTAAAAAAAGTGGAGAAATCTTAAAATTTCACTCACTGATGCGGACAAAATTTGTTCTGTCAAGCCGACATTGAAATCCAAAACACAGTAGACAAAATTCTTGCTGTCAAGCGGTAAATTCGCAACGAAAAAAGACACTATGATCTCGACCAATAGGTCGATTAACTAATTTTACTCACAAATAAGAGTGCTGAACGCCACAGCGGCGAGAATTCCTTGAACAAGGAGTCCAAAGTCATCGTTTAAGCGGCAGCGTTTCGGGTCCGAGGCCATTTCCGTCATTTTAGTTGAGTGCAATAATCCATCGAATTTCGAAGAAACCGTATTACCAGACGAAACAGAACGATTCATTAGTCAGGGAAAGCCTTCCTTTCTAACCACAGGGGCAGCTGATGGCAGTTTTGGCTCTGAATTTATCGAAAATCTACCACGATACACAACGACCTCTCGACAAATGAACCCAACCTCACAGATAATTGAAATCAGATAGCTGAGTAGCCGCTCCCATATGATGTCTTTCCCGGTGAGGAGCGCACGTACGATGTCTGAAAATGCCCCTGGGGATTGGCCCCTTTCTGCGATCCTACAAAAGGGCCTCCAAAATTAAACGTGAGGCCCTAAAGTAGGTCCATTGGAAACTAAATCTGCTTCCTCCAAATATACTTCCCCTTAGAAACAGGACAAAAATCTAAGCATGAAAAAGAAATCTTTATACAAGCACACGATTTTGGTGAGATAATTTGACCACCCACCCCACTGCTGTGCACCCAATAATCAATTTTTTTTACCCCTTCCTCCCTCCGGCCTCTGGCCTCCTCAAGCATTGGCTCAACGTGCAGAAAGAATTTATTGAATGACAGAAACAGAATTATGAAATGAATAAAATCTGAAATTTATTGACTCAATTTAAATGTACAAATGAACATTTTCTTTTTGTCAATGACTATTCAAGACTCGCAACAGTTTCTACTCATATATGCATCATCTAATCTTAGACAAGTACCTACTATTCTCCATACTTGAAAACTGACTCTACCTAATCTTAAATAGTTTATTAAATAGTTAGAGAATAGGAAGTGTTATGGAGGAAATGTGACGAAAAGTGAATGAAACTGCGACTGAAAATACGTGTGTTCGATTCTCTGCCTCGATTTAAGCTATGAACCTTGGAGGTGTTGTAAAGGTCCTTTGGTGTTTTCTGTCGTGCCAGATTCTTGTAACTTAATGATACTAATAATAATCATAACAACGATAATAATAAAATTTATTGAAGTAAAATATATATTAGTTTGTTCCCTTCTGAGAAACCTAATAAGTTAGCGAGTACTACGTACAGAATTTCAATCTCGAATTATGCATGTAGTTTTTAAGTTAAAGTGACTAATTTAATAGGTTCTATCTCTATATATAACAACTTCATACTTTTTCTTATAGCCGGTCACTATTAAATTAAGTTACATATATCATCATGAGTGGCAATAATAAACTCTCGGAAAAGTTTTTTATTTCTTTGGTAAAAAATTCTGACCGAGTGCGAACAACTTCAAATTTGTGCTAATTGTAAAACCTTTTACTACCAAAGAAGTTTTTACAAAGTATAGAGACTTCTTCAAAGTGTGCACAACATGTCTTCTAACTCTATAGAGAAAAAAAAATTAAAAATTAGGAGATAATGGTTAGTACTAAGAAACACGGTATGGCAACAAGAGTGGACACCTTTGAACTGATTGACTTTCCCCCAGAGGTGCTAATTTTTCTCTCGACGTCCGGTGGCAGAGATCTGCGTGGTTTCTTGACACGTCTCCATTGAGGTTTAGGTAAAGGATCTTTGCGCTTAGCGCAAAATGGATTGAATTCATCATAGATGAAATCGATGTCATCTTCCAGCTTTGGTGTGACGTTACAGTGCTCCAGGGTAACATTCTTTGCACAGCGTTTGGCTTCAGCGTATTGCCTGAACGAAAGTCGGAAAAAAAAAAAAAACAAGAAATGATGAATTTAATGACGTGCACTTTAATTTACCTGAATTGGTTTGATAATGTTTCGCTCAGCCAATCAGAGCGAAGTATAATGTAGCAAGGAGACAATCAGATTTCAAATAGTGGAGTCGCAGACTGCGTTTGATTCGTTTAGAGGGTGGCGCGAGTTTACTTGACCAGTCACATAAGTTTAGTAATTTCGCGCCCAGCGAGTTAGAGCGAAGTAAAATGTAGCAAGGAACCTGTGAGATTTCAATTTGTCGAGACGCAGACTGGGTCTGATTGGATTTAAGGGTATTCCGAATTTTCCTTAACAATCAAACAGCTTTACACAGAAAAACTAAAGCAATAAAAGGAAACTTTAGACCCTTGATTAAGAATTTCTCTAAAAGTGGAATAAAGAAGTCTCTTTGAAATTGCCCAACTTACCCACACAAAGACTTTTCCGTTTTCTTCTTAATGTATGCTTCCACAAACTGGTAACTACATTTTTTCCTGTGTTCAAAGTAACTGTCTGTGCACTGGCCGGACTTTACCGCTGGGTAAGGGAACTGGAACTGAAAGCCGTCACAGTATCGTCGCTGGTTAAAGGATCGCATTTTCTTGAACCCAGTCTCTATCCTCTTCTTATTGTAGCTGGTATCGTTCTTATGGCAATGGAGAGCCACGTTTTTAGCGCAGTTGTGAAGCCTCTTCCGAAATACCAACCTACAAAGAACAAAACCGACATGTCCTCAGTAACATAAATGTCTACCTAATTCATAGTTCTAAGGAAAAGAAATTTTATCTTATATTTTTTGTATCGTCAGACAAAGGTTAAAAAAAAGTGAAAATATCGAAGCGGTCTCGTAAATTTATTGCAATATGTTTGGTTGCATGATAACAAGCTGTTAGAAACTGCAGGCTCTGTTAATTTGCGATAACACAATTCTGGAACAAAAACACCCCAGGAATTTGCTCCTGCTTTGTTAGTTACGCAGATAGCCAACTCAGGTGACAAAGGACCGCAAAAAGTAATGGATAGGGAGCAGCCATGCAGCACACTTCTCCCCTTTCCCCGTCCTTAGCGACACTAGCATGTGCCAGAGAAGACATAAACAGTGCATACTGACCCGCAAGGCTTCTTGGGATATTTTTTCAGCGTCCGTATAAAATTTGCCAAGCAGTCACGGCTCCTGTTCAAGTACTCTCGTCTGGTGCACGAGCCAAAGCGGCTGGAAAAGCTACTTCTTATGTCTAAAAAGAATAGAAAACCGAAGGTCATTCCGTATTATTTCATTACACATCCTTATTGCGCATAATTTCACAAATAACCAGCGCGCACATCAAACTTGTACTAACCTGGTTTCTTAACATCTGAGCCAACAGAACAGTACGGATTGAAGGGATTTTTGAAGATTTCCATAAGGTTCTTCACCTGAATTGTCTTTTTACACAAATTCTCCGCAACCCTTATGATGCATTTCTTGACCTTGTCGTATTTTCTGAAAAGTTTGAATATAAATGCTAGTTATAACAATAGCCTTCACTAGAGAAAGGAAAAAAATCTTTACATTTCTAATCTAAGTTCACTTTACTCTTTCCCCAAGGCGAGTCTCTGCGCAGACGCAGACTTTGGTAGGATAAATGGGAGCAAGTGCAGTGATGAGAGCGCTAGCGCGTGCCGACCGCCGCCGTGGCCTGGGTTTGATTAGAGTCGTTTCTTCGCTATTTCTTCGAGGGTTTTCGATTGGCTCTCAATAAGTAATTAAGTAAGTAAGTAAGTAAGTAAGTAAAAAGGTTATTAACAGTGTTTCCAGTGAGTGGCTCTTCATCTGTCACCAACTAAATACATTACAGGATCAACTTAAACCTATTTAATATTTACAATCTTAAATTTAAAATAGAAAAACATTTTAGTCTGTATACACTTAAAAAATTTGAACTAATTAAAATAAAATTAAACGGCCACGGTGTCTTGAAAGGTCCCCTTTTCTAAAGGAACCTGCAGTCTAATACAGTCTGATCAGCGCAGCTCTCTACGTATAGGGACTCGTTGTAGGTTCAGATATGTTGGCCCCTGTTTAAAATAAAGAGCTTTAAGGTCAATTTCAGCAAATTAAAATCCCTTCTTTCTTCCGCAGGAAGCCAATTTTGATTTAAAATGTCTCTAATGTTATCAACAAATCTGCCATAAAAAAAAAACTTGCGGCAGCAATCAATCATTTCAATCTCAATCATTTCCTTACATCAGTTCGTACATTTTCCATACCATTCTATGTACCATTCCTGACGCGGAGAATGTGATTAAAAATTAGGAGCTTCTGTGGTTGGTTCGATTTAGGGGTAATAATGTACGGAAAAATTAAATGATGGTCACTCTTCACTACTAAAGGCTTCGGTAAGCCCCTTCACAATTGCGTTTAGCATTGGCTCTAACCTGCACAAGGAAGTGCTTCCACTGTCACCTTTGAAATGTTTATGGAACTTTGATGAACACTTCCTCATTTTCTTTTGAGCCTTCTTTGGACATCCTTGCACAATTTTTCCGTTGAAGGGATTTATTCCGCCATAGGAGCAATAATACTGCTCCGAGGCAATAACGATGCGCTTTTTTTCGTCCAGAGTGGTTTCTCGATCTGTAGAGCTCTTACATTCGTTGAATGCCTGTTGTATGCAGTTTTTCATCAAACCGTAGTGGTTACTAAAAAAAATTGCATGAGGAAAAAATGGTTTCAGATCAGTCATGCATAATTTTTAAGGGGGGTCCTAAGTAAACTTAGAACCGAGCTGTCCCGCCTTCTTACCGGGCGTTTGTCATTTGAGTGTCGTCAAACCTAAACCCAACGTAATCCCAACAAGCAATCGGAGCCGCAAAGGAAACTGGGAAGAGGAGCCAATAAGAAGTTAAACTAAAAAAAAACAAATTGTCTGAAGCGCGGGAAAATACAACAGACAAAGTTGTGCATGAATAGATGTAATTCTAAATCTGATTGGCTAAGACGGTGGCGCGCGTTTCCTTTTGACCAATCACCCGGCAGAATTAAGTAAAATCGGGGATAGATCCCTGGATTACTTTCCAACAGAAAATTTCTCTACCGCACTTAGCCTATTCCTTTGTGCAAAAAAAAAAAAGAAAAAATAGATCTGAAGATGAATCCTTTTAACAGATAATTGGTGAATTTTCCTCTATTTTTCTCAACCTACCCCTACGCGTGGCCTCCCCCTGCCCTTCCCCCACTGAATCAAGGATGTATATTTTTAATAGTTTGGTAATTCTTGCCTGCAAGTCTTGTTTTTGGTCTCTCGTAAGCTGCGTGCAAACCCAATCACGCAGGCCTTAGCAGCATCTTCAAACTTGCTGATGGTGCAAGTGTGGGTGATCTCCATCAGGCTGCAAAGAGCCAGAACTACAAGAAAAAATGTTAGCAAGAAGACATTAAGATCAACGCATTTTTTTCGAGACTGTAGGAATGGTAAACATTTATCGAGGGTGGGCGGATTTGATTTGATTCAACAAGACTTACCTCAAAAATGTTTTTGCTAAAGTTTTACCCAAGAATTTCCTCTGGCAGCCAAATTGGACTCAGCCTACGGCCTCGTCCAATTTTGGTTGTCCACAGAATTTGTTTCATCCAAATAAATCCAAATTGGACAGAATGTATCCCTTTTACACATACTAACGGTTAACCGCATTGACAGCCTCTTCTAATGACTCTTTCGCATGGGCAGTCAATTTACTATATACCCCCCCTTTAAATTCTGTTATAGAAGACTAATCCCCCCGCTTCCCCATGGGATTTAGAAAATGCTGACAAATCTCAACATTTTTTTACTGAAAAATAACATTGAATTTATGGGAAGAAAGTATATGTTCATCACCGAAAAGATCAAAAGCAGTTTTTTTTCTGCTTTCTTTCTGCGCACTGAATTCTTGAGCCACGTTTAAACTGCTACATATGTACTTATACATAGAACATACCGCGTAATTCGTTAGTTCGGAGAACATGCTTTTAACCACCATAATGATGAAATTTCTCTGCATATTTGAATAAAGTAAATGCTCTCGTATCATAACGAGAAGAACATACTCTTTTATAGAATACTTGAATGCCCTTGCTCCGCCATGAAATGATGCTTACGTTCCAATTTCACTTTTTGAATTTACAGCGGCGTGTTACGCTTAACACTGCTTTGAAAAAGACTTCAAAAGATAATTTAAAGAGTTTCTAATACAAAACCATACGTACAAATCACAAAGGCTGAGGCCTAGTTGAAAAGTGATAATCAATTTGTCTACTTGAGTTTTGTAGTACAATAGTTCAATGATTTGTTTGAGCAACTCTACAAATTAAAGAAGCGCTTCTTTTCAGAAACGATAAAAAGTTGCTGAGCGGTATGTAACACTTTGTTCCTATATGAGGCACTTCATTATTAACAAATTAAGATTCCTAAAGCTTTCAAAATGATCGCAAATAAATGTTGTATTTCGACTCTTTACTATAGGACTCTTATCGGATATTTAACTCATCGAGCCAACGGGGGATAATGATCAATGAAGCTATCTCACTCACCGAGAAAAACAAACCGTTTCAATCCGTGATCCATCGTCGCGATGTTATGAGCACTTATTGGAGATGAATTCAAGATAGCTTGAAATTTGAACGGGACTGAGAGAGCTCACCTGATATATTCTTACCATGAAACAAACTTCGGGAAACCCCCGGTCCTATCACACAATAGTCTATTTTAAACGTATGTCCCAGGATTAGCACACCCAGGAGAAATCATGAATATTAACGTATGCAACAGAATTGTGTATCTATTCACAATCTAGAAAATGAGCTAGTAACGTCATCAGCTGTAAAATTGACTTTGCAAGCGAATCGAAACTGCTGGTTAGCTCATCTATAAATGTGCAGTAATTTTTTCCCCTCGAAAACGGAAGCTGGTTTCGAATCAAGTTTCTTCCACCCACATATGACCTTTCCTGCCAAATATGAGATGCCAAAAAAAGGAACATTAAAACCTCTCGAAAATGAAAGGTCTTGTAAACGTAATGATATCTCGCGAAAATTATTTTCAACGATGTTGCTTAGCCAGAACTGTTTTACAGTGCAACTAAAAAAACTCCAAGTTATAGCTTTAATCACGAATGCAAATTTGAATCATGCAAGGCATTTTGTGACGTCAGTTTTACAAGTCACGCTCACTCAGTGTCACGCATGGCTCAAGGTCACTCAGCTAAGTTTTCCTAAGAAATGAGCGACAAGGGCGTAGCCAGGGGGGTCCTGGGGTGCCCGTGACCCCCTCCCTTGGTAGGCCTTCTTTAGAGCAAAAAACCTACAATATTCAGGTTGCGAAAACGCCATGACAAAATCTTGGCCGTAAAAGCCATTGTTGAAAAGCCCACTTTTTTAAGAGCCACGATATTACGACTGAGCCCGCTGATACACGCGGGAGAGCAGCGGTGTAAATGGTGAGTAGCCTCTGTGACCCCCCCCCCCCCCCCCTTTGAAAAATCTTGGCTACGACCCTGAGCGATCTGATGAAAATGCGCGATCTTAGCGAAAAGGGGAATATTATGGCGTATTTAGAACATGATAACATTTTCCTCTTTCTCTAACTGAAGTTCCGGTTTCGTTCTCACCGACTGTCTTCAAAACTTCTTTGCGCAGATTTTATTTCGTCACGTCGAAAATAAAAACCGAATTTTATATTCTTATCCTTGAATTTCTAAAGAACAGATCAAAGTTTTGGTTTTGACCGATGAATCAGCCTAAATTCCGATATTTAAATTCACTTGAGTGACTCACTGCCAGGCGTAAAATTTATAACAAAGGGAAAGTGAAAATCAATTCTTGGCTAACAAAAGAGCAAAATTGTAAGCGGCTGTTACGCAGTTGAAGTAAGATACCTCATTCTTCTAGCTTTCACCATTTGTCTGTTACCAAATTAGGCCTACAAACGTGCTTGGAAAATTCTTAGCTGACTTTGCAAAACGCTTCACTTTAAAGAATTATTTGGGCCGTACACGCTTTCTCTCCCGATAACAGATTCAAATCGAAGTGTCTCTTAAACTAAGAAACGCGTCATAAGCGATGCGAGATTGTAATGAACTGGAAAATTGGCTCAATAGGTATTACTCACCACAGATATGTAGCTTTTGACAAATGCGGTTTAAAAAATTACGACAAATATTTACCTAAACAAAACAAAGAGGCATCCTCCAAAAGAAACCTGGAGGCTTGTAATACTAAACTTTTGTCAATGTAGTTTGATTTTCTAATCAAGACATATGAAGCACTCTAATCTTAAAAGCCATTGGACTATTTACAAGATTTAAATGATAATTTCAAGCCTTAAATAACTTAATCATTAAACTGACAACTTTGAGAATTAACTGCCAAACACACAAGTGAGTTATTTCTCAGGACATTTCGATGCTCCTAATGGAAATATTTTTAAATGACTCAGATTGACATCGATTCATGTGCGATCCACTAAAGAGATGTATGTTTTTCAAAATTAGTTTTAAATTGTAAGTACATGAGCGGTTTTCAGACATAAACGATCCATATCACTTCACAAGGTTTAATGGTTGACGAAGCAACACATCGAAAGTTATGTAAACTGAACAAGATGTTGTGAGCTCCATTAACGCCCTATAAAAAGTAAATCAAACAATTAAACTCACCAATTAAAATAAGATGTCGACTACCCATGTTGAACTTGTGCACCAACTTACGACTTGATTTGAGTTTGATTTGACGGAGCTTCGGATTTGATCGTACTGAGCAGGAGTGGGCTAAAATTGTAACAGTTAGAGAGGCCGGGTCTCTTTGATATCAAAATCCAGTTTGGGAAACTCCCTCATTAAAATAATTTATTTGTAATAGCTATTTAGAGTTGGGATGCATGTGTTAGCACTCCTGGTCATTTATCATTTCGCTATGTTAGAGAAGCAGGTTTGTGTTCTTTTTTTTTTCTTTTTTTTGTTTTATTTTTTTTTTGCTGGGAAACTGCGCGATGAGAAACGGTTGTATGAAAGGCGGGTTTTAAACATTCTAAATCAATTTTACGGTTTGCCATATTATATGTAACAGCGTAGCATAATCCTAAAAACATAGGATTTTCAATTGGAACAAAAGAGTACAATCGAAGGTACTCCGAAAGGTTATGTTTGACGTCAACTTGACTTGAAAACGAAACTGCTTGCAAAGCTTAAAAGCAAAACCTAATTTTGACATTTTTGGAACCAAGTCACCATAATGACGTTCTACCCATCCTCGAGCATTGATGACTCCCTAGAGCACTTGTATCATTTAAACGTAGGCCCCTTATGGTACCGCATGTTCTCTTTTTTTAGCATCATGTCCATAGACAAGGAATTGATATAATTTGGTTGATCTGGCTCCATTTAAACAGAAGACTATCTATGTAACCCCCCAACATAGCTAACTGCACTTCAGTACTTTTCTTATTTGAGTTTAGTAACTTTCTAAATTGAGGTGTGCCGTGCATGCATGCATGCATGTTGGTTAGCAAGAGTTGGTCGCGGAAAATGAGCTGTTTTCTTCTCTATCAGTCCAATGATTCTCGTTGTGGATTAAATTGAATATTCTACTATGTGCTCCTTCAATTTAGTTCTTTTTTATTTCATGCGTGACACTGAGACAATTCTACAGACTTTCACTCAGTGACCTGAAGTCCGTAACAGAAAAGAAGTGTGATCGAGTCCAAATTGCCTTTAGTGTAAACGATGTCTCGTCTCCAGAGAACGAAACATGTCTTTAATTCAGGTTCTGCTTCCATGAATTTCAAGTGAAATCGCTCTTCTTGTCTGAGTAAGCAAACAAATCTATTTTCTCTATTTCCGATTTGTTTATCTTGTTTTCCAACACGCCCTTCCGCTCTGATTCAATGCAGGAAGTCGTTCAGTTCTGTTTTTACTTTTGAAGCCCTTTGTGCCCGGATCGCATGCGTCCGAGCACTAAAGTTCGCGTGCATTTTATTCAGCACGCCCCTCGACGAAGAAAGTTTTACAATTCGTTTTTCTGATAGTGACTGATAAACGGCTGAAGTCCGGCGATGCATTCGCAATTCATAGTCTACATATATGACAGTTATCCGTCCTTCGGGTTAAACTATTGACTCAGTTTCGTTTCAGCTCTGTAAGGTCCTGAAACACTCCATAAATAAACTGAAACCGCCTTGAAACTGGATAATAGTTGTCAATTTTTTTTTTCCTTAACTGTCTAGGCAGGCTATTGCTGTTGTTGCCGCTCTGGTTGTTTCAGTTTCATGTTAACGAAGTATTTTGTAGAATGAACCGCGTATAAACTGATATTAAGGCCTGTTTAAACGAGGAAAATAATCCGCGGCTTACGTACTGAACGCAAACTGGACCGTTTATACGAGATGGGCTTGATTAAGCCGAGAGGTGCTCGTATAAATGGTTCGCGTCATATGGAATTGTACGAGTGGTCGCGAGCAAGAGAATCCAACGCGCCTACAAACCGGGAAAAAATGGTGCTTGCGTAGATTAAGTTCGCGTCTCTCGGTAAGCCGCGAACAAGCCGCAATGCAATTTATACGAAGTCTTTCGTATCCTATCAAAGCTGCGACTTATTTAGGACTTGCTTAAAATCCTCGACTTACATCAACTACGGCCTTTTAAAGTGGAAATGTATACGATGAGTTCGCGTTATATGTACGCGGTGGATTATCATCCTCACAAGAAGTGCCCTCAGCCGCACGCAGTATTGGCATCTTAACTGGCAGTTTCGTGACTGCTTCGAAGCGTCAAGCGATAGAGCCGTAAAAAAACTGGCAGCGAAGCCACGAGAGTGGGCTGAAAAAAAAATTACAGTTGCGAAGGACTGAAATCAAGTCAAGGCACTCTGACACTTGTCCAAAGTAAACCTCTAAGTTCTTAATTTACTTTTAATTTACTTTTGGCGCCCTTGAGAGCTCTTCGTTAACAAAGAAACAGCATTTTATGAGTGCAGAAGGATTCTAAAGAGATAAATCAGCCCATAAGAATTGGATTTTGTTCGTAAGTAGTTTTGAATCAATTTACTACAAGCATTAGTTTTCTGCAAGCAGAGCATGCCATCGAAGCACACGCGCGTATTTATTCTACAGAGTCAGCAGAAATCATGCTACATTATACAAACCGATTACAATTAAAAGCTCTACTGACACAAGACAAAACTGCAATGAAATGTGTCGTAAATAAACACATTTTGCCCTAAAAATTTTTGACTGGTTTATGACTGAAGTTTTTTCAAAATTCTAGGAAGTTTTCTTTGAAGACCTACCTATTACTTACCGAATATGACGACGACTGTGGGAAAATGCGACATGTTTCGTAGATATGACTTCACAAAATTGAAACTTCGAGAAACTGATTTTGTGAGAAAGGACTTCAGTGGATTTTATAAGGATGCCGAGGGAAAATTACCAACAGTTTTTCCGCTGCCACAAACTTATAACAAGAAACCGCTCATATTTATTTTTAGTACCGTTCCTTGCAACCAGTACCCATGAACGAACAGTTTGAGTAAATAAGCCAATCTTTACCGGAAGAATGATTAACAACAATTCATGCAATCTAGTTTGATGGAACATTGCAAATCAGCGCGTTACATATTGCCAAAGTGTTGAGAAATAAAAGATTTACTGAGAGAGGATTATTGGAGACGTGTTAAAGAACACGCAACGCTAGAGTACCAACACTAAATAGGTTTTAAGTCTTTCAACTACAAAGTTCAGCGATAGTTTGTTAAACTATTTGTCGCGTGGCAATCAAAATTAGTAGCGCAAAGTTGATTGGAGAAAAATGTATCGCTCATTGCAAAGTACGTATCTAGTGCAAAAGGCTCTTCAAATTGTATTAGCTGTATATTGTTTTAATTTGACAAGCATCACTGAGTTAGCACATCATTTCACGTCAATAAAATTTTGCGACTTTGCCCTGCAAGCTTATTTTAACAGTTCGCTTTAAAACTTGGCAGTATTCATGAAATAAAATCGACGAATTGACTTTCTCTGTTCCATATCAAAAGTTGAAACGAACCATGGATGAATAAATTTTCTGTTTATCAACAGATTCAGTCGTTTCCGTTTCTCGAAATAACGCTGACTCGCTGACGCTAGAAAGTGAAAGTAAAAATTTAGGAAAATTTTACGTCAGTTGTCACGATAAACTTAGTTTTGCATCAAAAGCTGACTCGTAGAAAATTTAACAAAAGAGAAAAATTCCCCGTCTTTGAACGACTGAAAATATTCCCTTGTCAATGAATGAACACTGTTTCTTCGCTTCGGCCAAACAGTTGAATAACGTTAGGACACTTGTAAAGGTGTCACGATCTCTGATCCTTGAGTTGGCTGCTGTCACGGCAAATCACGGCTCACAGCTGTCAAGTTGAAAGAGGAACTGTAAAATAAACACAATTTTTACAAATAAAAAAGCCATATTAGGTTTTTCCAGGAGAGGATAAAGTGTGTAACGTTAATCTGGTGTTGTTCAACAGTTTCATTCGAAGTAATCTCTATAATTTTCAATTTTGTCAAGTGCAAATCGTTCTACCGTGAACGCTCTGACCAGTCCCCCTCGGCCCTTCTCTCCTCCCACATCACGCGGTAATAAGTTCTGTGGGCGCTTAACCGTTTCGCTTCCAACATCTCATTATTAATTCTCCTTACTGTCTGCCATATAATTCTTTTCAAGTTTGCTTGGAGAATTTGCTACTTGATCAACTCATGATCTCCTTATTGATATTTTTCTTTATTCTCATTCGCTTTTCGGATCAATTTTACTATAGGTAGTGTCGGCCGACATGCCGACCGACATGGCGACCGACATGTCGACCGACATATCGGTCGACAGTCGGTCGACAGTTGGTCGATAGTCGGTCGACAGGTCGGTCAATAGTCNGTTAAGGCTCTAGGGGTGATCATCTTCGTCCTTGCTATCCCTGATCACACTCTTGAACCCTTTTTGAAGTTTAAAATTTCTGAAGTGATATCAATGATTTTAATACAAGGATGTAAACAGACCTTCTCGATCTTTTCCCGATCAAAAGTTCTGGAAAGTGAACCGGGCTTTATTCTAGTCTCCTCAATATCTGATAAAACCGTGCATTGTAAGCGTGAGCCCACGGTTTCCATGTTGTATGCAACACACAAAGGTTGACGTATGCATTGGTCCATGCAGTGTAGCTCTGAGACCACTTCCTCTCTGAAACTCACTCGGCCAATAAAGATCGTGTCTAAAGTGATATCGGAGAGTTGGGGAGGTGAGCAAGTTTCACCTTGTACGCCTACGATCGAAGCAACAATACGGTTACTCGAATAAGCTATCAATCAACAAACGTTATAAAAATCTTGCAAAATAAATTGGTCTTGAGTAAGATATTAACCGCATCTCGACTTCCTTCCGAATTTCCATTTTCTTTGCGACACATTTCGCATAAACGTAATGAGTTGAACTCTCTTCCCCTCCCCCCCCCCACGAGGTTCTGAGCCACAAGTTCCTTTCTCCCTTCCCCCTTACCCCTTCCTCGTTCCTATTGGAGGTAGAATGCCCAGCCAATGAGCTACAAGGAGCTTTGCATATTCCTTATTAGCTGTCCTTACCCGAGCCTTTTCCCGCCCTGCCTCGTAGAAGGGAAAAGCCTTGGGGAAAAAGTTGCCTTATGCAGTCAGGATGGCAACGCCGAGGAAGAAGACGATTCAAAAGTAAATTTACATTTTTAGTTAGAGTTTCGTATATGGCTGGATGTGTTTATCGTCTCTTATGGCGCCGTACTTCAACTTCAGCATGACGTATGAGGGCAGCTGTGAGTTCCATATGGAAACTTAAATAATTTGCCGTCCGGGTTTTCGTACACAGACCGCGCAAATTTTAGTGATTTCACGTTTCTGTATTGCCGAAGTCGGCATAGAAATGTACAAATTTTTAAAACGCACGTACTTAGCCATGATTGTTCTGCTTATCTCATATTTTGTTTTGCCACGTCTTCGTTCTCGTTGCCGTCGTGGTTTGTTTAGAAGGTCCTTAATGACGTGAAGTCACAAAAATTTGCGTGGTCTCAGAACGGAAATCTCGACGGCAAATTAATTAAATTTCCCTTTGCAACCCAACACTGCTCACATACGTAATGCTGAAATTGAGGAGTTGCGCCGTAAGAGACGGTAAAAACATCCAGCCATTCGTGAAATTCTTACTAAAAATATAAATTTATTTTTTAATCGATATCTTCCGTGGTGTCGCGTTCCTGACCGCTTTAATTCAGGCGTCACCTGTCTTCGGCGATCATAAAATCACCAATAAGAATGTGAACTCTGATTTCACCTCGGCCTGAAATTATCGATGTTTTTGCACTTCATCGGGTACTTCAAAAACATCCGCACGACATGGGAACCATTACACGACTAATAAGATTTTAAAAAACTGTTTCATAATCTGTGTTTCTTGAGGACTGATCTAGCCTGATCATTTAATTTGTTATCTAAAATCCTGGACCATTGTTTTTAGTTCTTAGTTTATCATTCTAATTTTGATATTTCCCTTTCTTATCAGGTTAAAATTTCAAATTTTCTCTCGCGTTTAAGATAATTCAATTTTATATGATGCAAAAAGACGATTCAAAATATCTGTGACAGCTCCGGCTTTATCGTCAACTACACGATTTTCCTTTAAATGACAAACTTGCTTTATTTAAAGAAACTCGAGAGCGGGAAATAGTAGAAAAGTTTTGGAAACAGAACTTCGGGTGAGATTGAAAAAACCTACCTGAAGTCAATTTGGAAATGAAGAACGTCGTTGAAAGGACCAACACGCAAATCCATAACATGGTCAGGGAAGATGAAAATACCAAAGAAACTTTGACCAGAATTAGAAAACGTAATTCTGAAACAGGTCAATAGGAAAAAAATATTTTGTCAATCTATCTTCAAAGATGAAGTCTAGAATCGTTACAAACAGGGTAATAAAGACATTTGATACATGTGTGGTTTAATTTACTCACAGTTCTAAGCGTCCTGTCTTGATCAAAAAGTCGTTTAACAGGCCTGCTGCTGTAATATAATAATAACTAAATATACTTGCATGAATATGAAGAACTGCTTTACATGAAAGTGTAGAGACTGTTGCGATGAAGTGTTGAATATATCGACATGAATGGTTTTGCTATCGTGTTTCATCGGAAAATGACAAAAAATTGCTTTTAGCCTATTAAGATTTATTTGTGTTTGTTTGCACCTATAAAGATTAAATATATGAACTTAAAAACCAGGAAACGTGGAAGACCTCTTAGGAGATAATCTTTAAAGATAGTTCGAAGGCGTCAATCGATATTATATTGTCATTGAAAGTTCTTATATCAAAACAATTTACAAGTGAAACTGAATGAACTCAATATCCCTCTCACCCAAGACTGATCTTATTGGAAACTCTCCTTACTTTCTGCCATATAATTCTTATGATTTTGGTTTGGAGAATTGGGATTTTGATCAACTAATAATGCCCCCACTGGTCTGCTTGATATTGCATTGATAGTGCTTAGGAGAAATTCTGTCTTGATCACTATTAAACATTCATTCGCTCAAAAGGGCGCGCGAAATACACTATATGGCTCCAGGACTTTCAGGCTGCCTTCGTAAAATGAAGGCTATTAGTACTTTTTTCCTTTTCTTTTTTTATCATAATAATTTTTCGTGTTTTGACACCGTTTATGACAAGTGCCTGCAAATAGCCATTCGTGCAGGGAAGAAAAAAAAAAAAGGCTTATTCATGGAGTAATTCAATTTCCTTACATCCAATTATTTGTCACTTTTCAAAAGTGATAATCTGATAAGATCAAAATGATGAAATGATTATGCAAATTGTTGTGTCAAAAAAGCAAAACCGATCACTTAAAAGCTTACTAAATGATGGATGGTTAGAAAAGAGAAATGAATAAAGAGGGTAAGTTTCTAAATAAATTGTGGCGCTGCATCGGCGGGGGTAAAAAGGTAATTTGGTTATATCAAGTAAGTTGAAATTGAAAATTGGCCACCGTAAATAGTTAAAAAGCTGATGTTTCGAGCATTAGCCCTTCGTCAGAGCAAAAGGTGGAACTGTGTGTTGTGTGTGGGTTTATATGCAGAAAGTAGAGCTACGCTATTGGGAGGAACATGGCGACGAGAAAAACACGAATAAATTATTAGAATGAAAAGCGTTCGTTGATACCTATGGGGTTAAGAGTGCCTATTTGATAGATAAATTTTTGTTCAAGAGTTTTACGGCTTTCTGATCGAGCTACCTAAATGTAAAGAAAGGCCGCAGATTACCATATGCTGCTTAGAATGATGAAGGAGATTAAATTGTCTAGCGACTGGCTTTGATGCATCCTTGTCACTCCTTTCTACGTCCAGAAGGTTAGAAAAGGGGTCTGCTTTGAAAGATTTTTGCATTCAAAGGAAGATGCTTAAGTGCATCAGCCATGAAGTTTTCTACAGGGCTGATGTGAAGATAGACGAAGAGTGAATGATTATCAGAGTTAAGTAAAGCTGCGTTGTAGATTAAAGAGATTCTCGCGGTCTGATTGGTCGAAGATTGTGCTGTCATATCTCGCGATAATCACCTCGCACGAGGTGATTAGAGCAGGAGCGCTAAATTTCAAAATGGCTGCCTCGCACTTTGTCAACGTTACCGCGGAAGCGACGAGCACGATAAAAGAAATACTAAATTCTGAAGAGCGAAAACGATGCTACTAGAATTGATGTGACACTTTCCAAAAGTAACTTTTAAAGGGCAGGTTATTTATACGAGGTCTAACCCAACCACGATTTTACGCAATAGGTGAACTTCTGCTTGCTCTCACGACAAGATAATAACTTGTATTTATATGGCGCTCATATCATAAACTCATGGCGCTTTACAACACTGTACGGGGGACTTTACCAGACTGCTAAGCTGTTTACAATCAAATGAAAGCGAATATAACAGATGCCCCCTCCCCCCTATTCCCAGTAACCAGGCCAGACCACATCACAGTAATCTCGTGAAGTGGGTTCTTTAACGTCCCCTGCCTAACCAAATTAACTAATTAATAGTTGCAGGAGACGGGACCTCCATTTATTCGTCCCTATCCGAGAGGATGGTTTCTTCAATTAAATAAATGTCCTCACACTGTTAGCTTGCGGCCCTCGTGAAACTTTTCGGTTTTGTTGAGCAACGGCTAAATTTTATTTGTAATTTCTAGTGGAAACTTGCCGCTTTACTCGACACGAGTAATCGAAACAATCGTAACAAAATATGGGAAAAGCTACCTTTATTTACAGAATGGTTTCAACAAGAAAACGAATTTACAACAGAATTCGAAGGCACCTGAATAATTATACTGAAAAAATTAATTTGATGTTGGCTGCTACCCGGTAAATGGCATGTCTAAAATCTTTACTAAAAAACCTGAGCAAATCACTTTTGATTCTTAATTTTATGCCCGATTACCGCTATGCATATCATGACTGAGTTGCTCGAGGAAAGCCGGGTTTGATGGCCACGGCACCGAAACATTTTGTGGGAACTCAGGGAAAGTGTTAATAAGGTTCAGGAAAAGTCGATCTGACCCACTCACTAATTAATCCATCATCGGGAAAAATTCCGCATTAATTTTTTTTCGCAAAATTTCCAAGGAAAAGTGTATATCATCTTCGTGTAGATCAAAAATGGTTTTTGATTCTTTTTACATACAGTGGCTGTTGTGTTTTTCTGCCCTCTTTCAAATCATCTGGTGGATACTGCCTGATGCTTTTCCTTGGTTTAGGATTCGCAAAGTGGTGACAGATATGTCTGTAATGGAGAGATATTTTCATTAGAGCCATTAATATATTCAGGTCCATTGAGTTTCGAAAGTAATCTTGAATTGCAATGGTTTCTCTCTTCTTTGCTCTGCTTTTCGATTTAGTGCGGTAAAACGAATAAGCAAAGTAATCGAAACGGCCAATTAGACGAAAGGAAGATACCCTGAAGAGCGAATAACAACTCAAAGTAAAATCAACAAGCTACTTAAAGCGCGGGAAAATGCGAGCGATCATGTTGTGGTTGGTTTTACTTTTACGTCTGATTGGTCGAGAGAGCGGCGCGAGTTTTATGGACCAAAGCAGTCAATCAACGAAACGGATACAATGGAAACAGGGATTATGCTATAATTTGTTTTATTAAAAACTAGATCATAGGATAATGCAATTCAAGACTTTTTATTGGCTTAGCCAGTATGGTATATGAGCCAATATACCATAATCTAATATCTGTACATTGTAACGATTTCTTCTTACGAAATAAAGTCGAGAAGATTTGTCTTATATCTTGGGGGCGTTTTTCTAAATAAAACAATTATTCCACTCGCGCTTGTTGGATGTGAGATGATTATAGCCAACTCGGCGCTACGCGCCTCCTTGGCTATCTATTAGGGAGCTTACGATACAGACGTTTTCGGGGCGACGGCGACGTGACAGCCCAGGTGGACTGGGCCAGAGGTTGCTGTTTTCGTGCCATAATTTAAGTTGTTAAGATTCTGATGACGGCCGGCCTCTGCGACTTCGTCGAGTTTAATTAATTGTTGCGCTTTATAAATTAAGGCTTTTTTGTCCTAGCTACATTTAAAGAATTCCTCCATCTCCTCGTCCTTTACTACGACGCTAATCTTATTAGCAATGAAGAGTTCTTGGTTTTGTATGAAATGTTTCCGTCTAAAAACCTCAATTTTCCATACGAAAATGTTCATAGATCTGAGGTGTACGTTTTCGAGATGCATCTACGAATTGATAGAGGGAATGGCAGCAAGCAAAAATTCCCTTTCATGTTAAGAATTCAAGTACTGTACGCGTACGTGCCCAAAACTTACCTCGACGATTTGGACTTAACTGTTGCTTCGGTCAATTTAACCAAAAGAGAAAACAAAAGGTCTCTTGAGTTGGCCGAGACATCGTGTGATGATTTGTGCGAAATGTGATATTGCAATCACTTTAATACAAGTGACAAAATTGGCAGTATGTTAAAAAAAAAACAAACAAGATCAACTCACGTTTTCACCACGACGGCAAACTCACTGATCTCACGTCGCCGACGTGAGGGCGACGGCGGGGCCGCATGCGCAGTCAGGCTCGCCCCAATCTTAATCGGTCTCCACGTCGCCGTCGCCCCGAGAACGTCAATATCTTAAGCTCTCTATTATCTCATATCCAACGCGCGCTTGTGGAATAATTGTTAATAGAGAGTTTACTGTGCATGAAATTAATGTAGATGTAGGACAAGGATCTAACCTGAAACTCGAGACATGACATGGTAAACCCAGCTTACATTGAAAGTTTTAATTCGAATCAGTAAAAAGGTTCCCTTCCTAAAAAGCACCTTTTATGAGCCCTTTTTCCCCCATGAAAGCCCCCTTTAATCTCGTGCACGGATCCTAGCGTGTAACTGACGCAAACAAATCTAGCTTGGCCGTGAAAGGCCTGGGTACCAGACCACCCTTTCTCGACCAAGTCCCCCTCCATAATAAGAGCCCCTCACCCATAAGCCCTCATTCGTAATGAATCGTCTTCCGGTTCTAATTGCCTCCCCCCCCTCTTTACAGTAAGCCTGTCCCGATTGTGATAGGCAACTTTTGAGCAACTTTTAGCGTTGGTTGCAACTTTTTGCGGTTCTAGCAGCCTTGAGCAGTTTTGTCCTTTCTGAGCAAATTTTGAGCGAAACATAGGCGAACAGCTCATATCAAGCTCGAAAGAGTCAACGATTTCATTAAAAAAACCTACAGTTTATTGCGAATTTCTTAAACACATAACCTGTCACTTGAAAACGTTTCGGGTCTATTGCGATCCTTAACTAGTCATATAACGGATAATCGGCTAAAATGGCGTTCG